TATGTATATATGTATATATGCATATTCAATGTATATACGATTTGCAAAAATGTCTGTATATTATACACTAAATAAGAATCAGAAGAAGAAAGTATTGATATTATTAGCAGCAGTAATAAAAGTAAAAACGATTTCAATAACGGTATAAACGATATATACATATATGTATATAGATATATGCATATAGATCCACACGTAAGTACACACACACACAAAGATGTAATGTTCGAATACAGACGCAGATTGCTCTATATCTAATCTGTCTATGTATGCACATGTTTATACATTACATAAATAAATAAATAAATATATATATATATATGTGCATATGGCCCCACTGCCGAACTCCGACATTTGCCTCTGCAGATCATCACCTAGTACATCACCTAGTACGGGACAGGTAACCTCTGACTTTCTTGGGTTTACATTGTCCTGCCGTGATTGAATTCGAAAGTGTCAACTTTGAGTCAAAGGACTTCAGCAACTAGGATGCGCTCTTTATACCACACGTCCCCAGCCCCAAGCTGCGCAGGACCTCGATGCCTGGCTTGCCCCGATGCACCTGCAAAGCAGCCGGCCATTCCTCATAGGCTTGGCCCCCAAGCACTACGCGGACGTCTAATTCGGCAATACCTGGCATTGTATGTATGTATGTATATATATATAAAAGGCATTCTAGGCTTTGGTCTTGGCGAGGCACTGGCATACGGATTTTATGAATGATACCAGGCTACGGCCGAAGGGCTGGGACAGATCTTGAACCTGATGGCCTTAAGGCAGCTCGAAGGCGTCATCATCTTGAAATCTTTGTGACACTGCGCCAGGCTGGTACAACCAGCAACGTGAAATAACTGCGGATGGAACGCAGCGGATTGAAGGGACCGGCACTCAGTTGATCTTCCATCATGTTGTCCGTCCTGTCTGACCTTGAAAAAGTATACAACTTTCTCGGCGTGATTGGCCAGGCCAGATGATGGTGTGGCCTATGCTGTGTATTCTGCCAATGACCTGGCATAGCCATGGTGTTCATGTCGCAGACTGCGGGAACCCGGTCTTAAGGTCCCAGGCTACCTCGATGTGGTCATGCCCTTGGACCACGATGCTTGTTCATTTTTTTTCGTCGCACAGGACCTGGCACCTTTGCTGAACCAAGGTGATTGAGCACTTTGCCAGGGAGCGACCATCAACAGTCCGGACCTGGTGGCTACAGCGTCGTTTGCAGCCTTCTGAAGTCCAAGAGCACCAAGGGCTTTGTGGATGGCGCCACGGATGCCATCTTGGCGCAGCTGCGTCGTGCCCTCATTGAGTGAGCATAACGATAGATTGGAGGCTGTCTTGGTGCTGGGATAGGATATGAGGTCAAGCACTGCCTGCTGAGCTGGAGCCGCAAGTGGTAAATACTGACGAAGGACTGCTCACTCGTACTGCGGCTACTGCCGATGCTACTCCTCCCTCTCCCGCTCTCACTCCCATTCCCTCCTCCTCCTCCTCCTCCCACTCCTCCTCCTGCTCCTGCTACCACTGCCGCTCCTGCTTCTGCTACTGGTCTGTGACTACGAATATGTCTAGCACATCCGTGTTCAATACAGTAGCCATGATTACGACGACTAGCGCTCGTTTTGACATATCAGAAACAGCTGCTGCCATTGCCAGGACCTCCGTACTACCATGTGCAGACCATTGGGAATGTGTGCGCAGAAGACGAGCACATCGAAGCCAAGGCGAATTATAGGGTACAAGGTCAGGGGTTCAGAGGTGTGAGGGGGTTTTGGTTTGGTTATGTTGCTTCATGACAGACCTCAAGCTCGTGCTGCTAGCTTCGGGATCTGAGTCTGATTTGGTTGCCGGAAGTGTCTCGAAGGACATCGCGAATGACGGCGACGACTGGGAGGAAGACCTGTCCGACCGCCTGGAGGACATGATATCCTGCTGAATTTTGTTTATTAGGGTTTAAAGGTTTAGGGTTTAGGGTTTATTGCTTACTGGCATATCTGCATGGTCGTACTACTGCATCACTGCTTCCGCAAAATCATGCGCCCTGTTGTTATTAGTCAACTATTGTGTCTTGTCGACGTAATGTGTCGACGTAATGTTGCGGAACTGGTTGCTCTCTTTCGTCTTCTCTGACCATGCCTTCTGGCTATCATTCTGAGCAGCCAGTATTGGACTCTAATGCAGGGGTAGGAGTAATTAGCAATAGCATAGTCACTGATAAAATTCTACCATAACATCCCCCCAAACGCTAATCATGCAGGCCCCTATAGCTATAGCAAGCCCTCACAGTAGGCCCCGATGGTAAACCCTTATAGTACGGCTTACACCATGCCTAACATCGCACCCTCATAGAACTCTCACAGGAACCCCGTTCGAATGACTCAGGCCCCTCTATATTCCACCGACGTCCGGGCACTCCTCCGACACAGGAGACACGTGACCCCAAGATGTGGGGATCGGAGTCGGAGATGCTGAGGCGAGGCAGTTAGACTGAGATGAAGCTTGATTAATGTTTAGGGTTTAGGGATTAGAATAAGTTGGGTCTTGGGGGATAGTATTTTCAAGGGACCATGGGAAATATGATGATGAACTTCCTTCTTTGTCGGGTCGGGTTTGGCGGTTGGCGAGGCTTAGCGAGTAGATGGGGCTAGGGCAAGGGGTTTAGGTTCTTAGGTCCTTTGCTGATGCAGCACGATATTGAGTGCCAACTGAATCTTGCAGTAGTGTGCAGTATGTCCCATTGGGTGGTCTAGGAAGATCTTTGGCGTGAACGTTCATCCGGCTCGGCACTTGGATCCTGTCACCAGTATAGGTGATAGCTCGTGTGTCTGTGTTGTGAAAGGTGTGCTGTGAAAGCAGGGATTTCCAGTATTGATTACGTACAAGTTGCGAAGATATACACAGCGCGGCAGGGCGGTAGGATGTCCAGTGGAAGGACTATAGAAAGGGCACCCTAAGTTCGACCATGGACAAGCGACCATGAACTGAGACCTGGGGCGGCTGGTACTCGCCTCAGAGCAGACAGGAATCAAGCGTCCAGCTTCGGGTCCCGCTTCTTTCCTCTGTAGTAGTACCTGCGGGGCTTTGCGTAAAGAACCACGGAAACTCCAAGGTATGCCTATCGAGCCCTGATCGTTCTCCGGAAGGGCACCCAGGCCAGCTGCAGCAGTAAGATCGCGATGTCCCTGCACCCCAAACCCCTAGGACCCTAAGTAGTTCCTTTTTATGGCTTATACTTAGAATCCTATAAGGTAATCCCAAAAAGGAACTACTTAGGGGACTATGGGTAAACCCTGCTCACGCAGCAAGGCCTCCCTGCAAAAGCCGGAGCCTATGGCTTTCCTCGCCACGGAGGCTTGGGGGGAAAGGGGAACTCTAAGCTTGCGGAAAGGTGGACTAAGGGCCACTACCAGGGGTACTTGGGATACTAGCTCAGCTGCATGGGAAATCATGTTCAGCAATCTGGTTTGGGCAGAGTCAGTTCATGACGGGAGCTGTGGAGCTTGCTGGTTTAGAAGCTCAGCCTACCGGACACCATAAGCCCAATAATCGTATTAGTATTAATATTAGTATTCATTATTTGATTAGTATTAGTGTTGGTATTGGTAATAAGTGATAAACCCTTATAAACCCTTCCCGCGGTTCCCACCATGCGCCTCACTCTCGCAAGGACAAGAAGCGAATCCTCGCGGAGTACAACCTGAGGACGGCCTCTAAAGGGACGAAGAGCGATGCTTTTTAGGGCTATGGGGTTGAAGGTTTCGGCTTTCGGGTTTGGGGTTTAGGAAACCCTATTCTAATTGATAAGGCCCCTGTGTTATGCAAGACATGGACGTCATTCGGGGTCCTTCGCGTGAGGCATCAGCTATGTGTGTGGCGGGACCTTTCGGACTCGCACCCCCCAGAAAAGCGCTACAGCCGTGCGCCTGGTTAAAGAATTGGCTCAGCACCCTGTTTGTTTTTGCCTTGGCAGTAGAGGCAGCTGCATCTTGGCACGCTGAGGCCCAGAGGAGTATTTTTTCTTCACGGAAACCTCTCCGGACAAGAGAAGGTCCTGGTCCAGGCCTATGTCCCGTCGGGTGCAAAAAATGCATCGCACAGGCGATTTCTCGAGATGAAGGCATCGCTGATGACTGCTCCCATCTCAGACGATGCAACGAGCCCCCGCCCCTCCTTGGACGGAAGTTTTCTGTTGATGAGGCAGTGCCTGCGTCCGGATCTCAGGAATGTGGGCTCTGTTGCATACCCGGTGCTGGTGTGGGTTTAGTACAACATATCACACATCTTACCAGGACACAGTGCAACCAGCAGGTTGGCACATCCAAGCGTAGCATCCTATGATTCTAGATAATAAGACTGCGCTATATGTTATCCTTTAACTGTTTGCCAAGGCCTCGGTGGCCGTCACTGTGATGGAGCCGAGCCGGGCGAAGCGTTCGCAGAAAAGGGGCACTTCAAACAGCGGCACGCATGGTACAACCTTTGTTTCAATATTTTGGCTTGTGCGATAAAGGGTCCAATCACCATAAAATATGTCTGGTGCCTTGATTACAAGGCAAAGGGATGCACATGTTGAACAGCTCACTTCGCAGGGAATGAGGCAGTCTGGATCTGTCATGCCGAGCTCCCCGACTCCGTGACAACGGACATGGCACAAGGGTTTTTTCAGAAATTAGAGCTACCTTACTTATGGTTTTGAAGTTGAGGATCCGACTACTTAAGTCCTGCCACATTCTACTTCAGTTATCGTCGACACTAGAATAGAAGGAGCCTCGTTGTCAAACTGTCGGTCCGATCCAGGACTCCAGGATTGGCGTTGCTGTGGGCGACCGCATATCGGCACAGAAGTCGTGCTTCTTTGTTCGCTGGTTTTCTCAGGAGCTTTACGTGCAAAAATTGTTAGGCTGATTCAGAGGTTCCGTAACATGGAACCGCCCGAATGCCAAGCGCATCTCCATGGCTCTTGGGCTCAAGTCTTCCTGCATTCACACTTTTGCGGCTCCCTTCAGCCGCAGCCCGAGCTAGCTTTGTGGAAGGCAAAGGTCTGAAGTCGAAAGCCTTCCTTTCTTATTCTTATGGTGCATGAGGATGGAATCGAACTTGTCTGAACTACTGTTCTTGTAAGTCGTTGGTTGTCGATGGTTCCTGATCTCAGGTTGCAAGTGGGGAGCTGTCGAGTGACGAACTGCACGCTGCCTCCGAGGCAAGTTGATCAGCAATGGCGGAAGAGGAGGGGCCGGGCACCTGCCATGTCGACTCACACTGGCACGATCTAGAAACTCATCTATGCGCAATCGACGAGATCTGAAATGCTTGCTTAGTTGTGTCTCGACGGGTGACCCTGCTCGGATCTTGATCACAAGTTAGCCTCAAGGTTGCTTGCAACTTTCGGAGGACACCTGTCGTACACGAATCTCATGAGCGCACGCTGCGACCGAGGCAGGAAGTTATCTTCACCGAGAACACCGCGTGGCTGCTTCAGTTGTTTGAATCCGCAACCGAAAAAAAGGACACAGTCAACAGTGTGCATGCATGCATGTCTCTGTGTGTGTGTGTGTGTTTGTGTATGTGTGTTTCTATCTGCATGTACATGTAGTCACAGATGTACGTGCATACACACGTCTCCGTTCCTGAATGTATTTTGGTTGAGCAGTGACCCGTGCGTGCATGAATGCATGCCTGTACGTACAACATGTATGTGTACACGCATATACACACACTCAGTATGTAGGTATGTATGTATACATTGACATATGTATGCATGTATGTGTGTGTGTGTGACATGCGTATGTGTATGTGTATGCATGTGTTCGCACATTCGTGTTGAAATCGTTGCCGCGGCGTGACCGAAAGTGTACTACTAGTACAGGGCATGCATGTGCTCTGCATGTACGTGTGCATTCATGTACATGTGCCTGTATGCAACTATATATACATATATGTATACACACATAAACGGCTCCGTATCGAAGTAGACAACAATGCCGCAATAGAGTGTAGCTCATCAGTAAGACGGCACACGATGTTGAGCAGCGGGTTCTCACGGGGCATGAGCAAGAGGAGGTGGCCAAGCTGGCAACTACTGCAGGAACAGTTCGACTGCATCATCATAACTCGTCGGTTCGCATTGGAGTTTATTAGCCGGGCGAACCACAAGCAATGGTGCCACTAAGGAGGATAGCATCAGTAGCAAAAGTTGCGACCATAGCAGCAAGGCTGTAGAAAGAAAGACAACAACAGTCGAAATAGCACTGTCATTTACAGCAATGAGATAGCAATGCAATAGACATATCACGAACAAAGCGACACCTAGGCTGAACATGAGCACTGCGCAATGCTGTGTGAGCAGTTTCTTCCATGTGGCGAATGCTCCCCCCGTGCCCTAAACCCTTAACCCTAAACCCCCAAGAAATTCTAAACCCTAACCCTATACCCTGTACCCTATACCCTAAACCCTAAACCCTAACCCTAAACTCCCCTGCACGGACCCTCAACTTCACGGTTCAACTGAAGGCCAGACCGAGAGATTTGGGACGAGAAGGGTGGCCTCATCAAGAAAGGCCACCTTGGATTTCGTCGTGTTGTGTCTTACAGAGTAGTAGGGGCGCAATAGTAGTAGCCCAGTGGTGGTAGTGGTAGTCGCAAAAGCAGTAGTAGTAGTAGTAGTAGTAGTAGAAGTAGAAGTAGAAGTAGAAGTAGAAGTAGAAGTAGTAGTAGCAGTAGCACCAGTAGTAGCAGTAGCAGTAGCAGTAGCAGTAGTAGTAGTAGTAGTAGTAGTAGTAGTAGTAGTGGTAGTAGTAGTAGTAGTAGTAATAATAATAATAGTAGCAGCAGCAGGGGTTGTACTAGTAGTCGTTTTCTTCGTCCTGGTAGTTGTCGTGGTATTAAATTGTTATTATTGCTGTTATCATGAGCATTGTTATTCTTATTTGTAGTAGAAGTAGAAGTAGTAGTCGTCGTCATCGTCGTAGTTCTGTTTTGGGGGGTAAGTTTGGCACCCGTATGGTATGAGACAGTTTTCCCGGTAAGTCGGTCATCCATTGCTGCCGGCCGCATGGCAGGTGCCGCCGAAATTGCAGAGCGCGACCAGGATCATGTCCCTGAAGTCAAGGCAGCTGGGGTTCGGTTCGTGGTTTGACTCTTTTCCTCTTTCGTCGGGGGTAATGATCCTTTCTGGGGCATGCGCTCCTCGTGATTCAGGATACCACAGAACTTGCAGCAAGCCCAAACCCGGTAAACTCGGGCTCATTGAACTTTGCTGGTTTCATAGAAGTTTGCTGTCATTAAGGATCCAGAAAGCATTTTGGAACAAACCTCAAGTCGAGCCGGTGTTATACACAGACACAGACTACTCCAGGTTTTGACAACGCTCGGTGGCGCCCTTAGACATCGTGATATGCAGTGCATGCACTAGCATACCAAGTGATATGCGGTCCTGGATCAGTGTCCACTTGACGGAGTGGTACTCCGAACTTATGCAGGAAGTCTGTCGGGCAAGGCATTTGAATGAGTCTTCGGTTCCTTGTTGTTCGACCGCAGCTTGCATCTGCAGTTGTAGCGAGACGTGAGCATGGTTTAGAGCTCCGGCTCGAGCCGAGGCATGTTTGCGGTTCCTGTCACGGCAGAGCTGCAGCCTCGGAGACTTTCTCTTCGTCGTAGATCGGAGTGGATCGTTGATGCAGGACTACGATCGGGGAAATCCGGCAGAAGGTGCAAGAGTGGAAGCCGGAGTGACCTGATGCATGGACGGCTCTTGTCAAGCCCAACACATCTGAGCTATGCCTGCAGTCTGAACTCGGGATAGGGTTTTCAGATCCGAGCTCCCTTAATTAAACCCTGACAGGTACTCCTTGGAGCAAATCGAGCTGGTCTGCAAGGACAAGGATGAACTCGCCTCAGGTCTTGCGCATGGGCTCCTTCCTGTACTGAAATTTGCTGAGGTCTGACTGTTCTGCTTTGATTGAAGACCTAACGAATCCCAAAGCCCATAGCCCAAACCCCCAACCCACCCCCGAAACCAGTCCCTGAAACCCCTAAACCACTAAACCTTAAACCCTAAAACCTCCCTACAACCCTTAAGCCCCCTCCAAGCCCCCTAAAGACCCTAAAAAGCCCAACACTCTTTTGGGATTCCCCTGTGCCCAGGCCTGGGGCCCGTTGTTCAACAAGACCTCGCGCCCCAGGCCTTTTGAGAGCAATTCTCCCTGCTCAGCTCAGTCAGGAGCGGCTGTAGACTATGATCTAACCTATCCACAAATCCATAAACTAATCTACTTATAGGTCGATATTCTGACTAACTATAAGACGATACTCTAACTACCGATAACTATATGACTATAACATAGTGGCATGCAAATCGAGTTTATTGTCTTCCTACGGCATTCCTAATGCGTTCGCCGAGCCTTCCAGTAGCCGTGGAAAACTGTGATTGTTGTCTTGTGGCTTTCAACTTCTGATCTGCCGGCTATGGGCATCGAGAAGGTTGCGGCCTGTAAGCTCCCTTACACAACGACGACAGCGACGAACCCTAAACCCGAAACTCTAAACCCTAAACCCTTAAACCCTGAACCCCTGAAGCCCTAACCCCAACAACAGCCACTGCTACTTCTACTCCAGCTCTTAGTCCTACTCCCACTCCTATCACTGCTGCTGTGGCAACATCGTCACCACGGTTTAGGGCTTAGGGTTCAGGGTTTGGGCTTCCCGATTATCTTGATCTAGCTCATCACAACTATCAGAACCGCCTTCGCAGCCTCAACACAGCCATCACCACCATCATTGCCCCCATGGCACGGCATTTTCTGCATCGCCGTCATCAGTACTTTCGTTACTGTCACCTAACATGTCAAGCACTACCTGTATGCACAATCAGGGAAAATCACCTTCATGTCAGTGAATCCTCAGTATAATATCCATCTCCACCATCTTCATTATCCTTATCAGACTTGTATGAAGCATTTGGTCGTTGAGCTGAAGGTTTGGTTTCAGTGCCTGGAATCTCCGACCCTGGTTTGGCTTGGGGATCTACATCTGAAGGGCTCCGGTTGACAGCTCACACCCCAGACCACTAGCTAACACTACGCCTTCGATACTCAAAGCACTACTGAAGCTTTCAGAGATGATTCAGTTTCAATGTCCAGGCAGAATCAGCTTACCTCGCGACTCTGCAATGTGTTATAAGTCTCATAGTTAAGGGCTTGGTGGCTTAGGGCTTGGGTTTAGGGTTTAACTAGGGTTTGGGGACAACAAAAACAGGGCCTCAAAGGCCAAGTGTTGGCTCCAAAGAGGCCGCAAAGGCCAAGGCCAATGAGCTCCCCACGAGAGAATGCCTCTGCTGGCAGGGATGACGATGAGACCGTCCGGCCCCCGGAAACGGCCAGGCTAAGATTCGTCGTCGCCACTCGGGGTTTAGGGTCTAGGGTTTACCCGAAACCCTAAACCCTAAACCCCATTTAGGGTTAAGGGTTTAGGGTTGAGGGTTTGTAACCCTAAACCAAAGATTAGGGTTTGTAGTCGTATAGTACTACTATTACTATTACTAGTACTAGTACTATTACTATTACTATTGCTATAATAATAATTATTATTTTCATCAGTAACCCCGCGAGGTGGAGTCCCTGTGGAGTGACTGGGACATCCCTCGACGCATGATGCAGGCCATCGGCTGTTCATGTCTGCTACATGTGAGTTTAGGAAGCCCCGGAGCCTGAAGCCCTGAATCCCAAGGCCCTCAGCCTCGAGAAGCAAAAGGAGAGCTAAACGGGGGGAACCCTAAACCCTATTTAAACCCTAAACCCTAAACGATACCGGAGGTGGCCCTGTGGATCAAGGAGAAAAACGAGGAGACTGGAGAGTGACGTGCTCAGTGCAGGTCACGGAGCCCCGCTGAGGACGTAAGTAAGTGTATCACCGTATCTTAGGGGCTGAGTAGGCAACCTTTAACCTTCTTTTTGGGCTTGTATAATCCTACTATAATTCAAAAGGTTAACCTTTCTTGGGCTAAGGTAGTCAGCCCCTAGGGCATAATGCATCAGAAGGTACTAGTAATACTGTAGTATGGCGCAATCCACTACAACTTGGTTTGCTGAGTAGAAGGTAAAACGAAATCGCACACTTCGCTTCAAGCTGAAAACCTGCAGCAACTGAGAATTTCGGGACATATTTCCGAGCTTGACATCTGTTTTCTTCTTGGGGTATGTAACTACGGAGATTGTGACAGGCAAGGCATGAATTTCGCCACTCGCCAGTGCCTGCACAGCCCGCACAGCCACGCTGTCTGTGTATTGTATGCCAAGGTGGGAGAGCACTTTCTGGAAGATGCTGGAGGAGTCCAAGTGTTCTTCGTCAGCAGACAGACTCGCTGTGGTATTAGGTGCTCAGAGTTGAGCGAAAAAGTCGAAATAGAAATGATAAGAACTGTACTACTCGTCTTAGTATGAAGGGCATTTTAAATTAAGATTGGCAGACCCGTCATTTCGAAAGCCATAACAGCAGCAAGCGTTTTTTGAGCAAAGACTTACTGCGCGTTATGAGTCCGATGTGTAGTTCAGGAGCTCTCGCCCCAAACCCTATAAGCCCCTTTTTTGGCTCAAAACCCTAGACCCTGAAATTCACCATTGTGTAAGCAAGAGCCGCAAGGGCTGCCACGTTGCGCCGGCTGCGCTAAGGTGACGATTGGAGCTTCCAGGGCCGGCATCCTACAAGCACTCGTGGTGTATTTTGAGCTATACTGTCACTAGCGCGCTCTCTCTCTCTCTCTCTCTCTCGCTCTCTCTCTCTCTCTCTCTCTCTCTCTCTCTATGCATATATGTATAATATATATATATATACACACAAAGAATATATATATATATATACACACACATACATAAATAATATATATATATATGCATATGATATTTTCTACATTTAATTATGATAAACATATGTATGCTAGGTTTAGCAAGTTTCTGACACTGGCGAGAGACAGTGCATCAGGCCTTCTTGTCAGCAGCTTGTCAGTCGTTCTCTCCAGGCCATACTATCTGAGAGGGCCACGGCACTGTGATTAGGGCATAGCTCTGCAAATAGTTGCACCTGTTTGCGGGCTGCATCTGAGAATCTCCAAGATGCGAAGAGTGTGCAGGGCCGTCGAGGTCGTAGGCTACATGACAACTGAAACGAGCGCTTCCGCCCCAGCTGAAAAATGCATCCAGGCAGCGTGAGGGTGGGGAGGAGAGGGAGTGCAGCGAAATGCCTCTAGCAGACAGGCCTTGGTAGCGCCGTGCGTGGTAGCGCCGCCCGAAGGGCTGAAACCCAAACCGCAAGCCCGACACCCTCGCAACCCTGGCGGTGAATGCGTGTTGCCGGCTTTAGCGGCTCAGAGTTCTTGGTCCCCACTGAGAGCACACGAAGCGAACCTCAGCGGAGATGTTAGGCGAGCAAAACGCTGCCGAAGCGAGGCCTGCCAATGCCCCTTCAAAAGCACTCGTAGCTGGCTATGCCGAGGTTTTTATCATGTCTGGTTTCTCTGTGTGTGTGTGTGTGTGCGCGTGTGTGTGTGTGTGGGTGGGTGTGATGGTGGGTGTGTTTAGACTCACTTTTGGCTCTAATCTTGTTTTCGGGTCGGAGCTGCGTTTTTGCGAAAAAGTTTCTCCCCGTTTCCAGGCCGAGGTCGTTGGGGAGGTTCCGGGGACAGACTTTGCTGCTGGTCTTGGGCCTCTACGTCGTGAGCCGGCGGTTGCTGGGTTGCTGTCAAGGAACTACGATAATAAGGAAAGAACCGAGTATTTACGCTATACGCCCCACTATGGTGACTTAAGGAAACCCTAGTATTTACTATATTATATATCCCCACTACCCTAGTATTTACCAAAGATCCCCACTATGGCAGCTTATGGTAACTGAAGTTCCGTTCCTTTTGTAGCAACCCAGGTTGGCGACCTCCGCTCCGGTTCTGGGCGTTGGGGTGGGTCTCGCGAACCCGGAGCCTGGGCTCTTCTTGAAGACCTCAGGGTTTGGCTCTTTTTTGAAGAACTCAGGGTTTCGGGTTTATAGGGGTTTAGGGTGTATAGGGGTTTAGGGTTTTTAGGGTTATGGGGGTTTTGGAGTTAGGGGTTTTCCGGCAGTTTAGGGTTCAGGGTTTCAGGGTTTAGGGGTTTGTAGGATTTAGGAATTTCCGGCAGTTGAGGGTTTAGGGTTTAGGGGGCTCTTCTTGAAGAACGCGTCATTTAGATTGCCGTGGTGCGGTTTCGGTAGCCCTGATAGCGACATTATGTAGCACTAATTAGACTTTAATATGACAAAGACCATACGCTTTCCTTATGTATGGTACTTTAAGTCATCTCTTATAGTTGTTTAAGCTACTTTTTGAGAATACTATAATATACTACAATAATATAACATAATATAATAGAATATA